AAAAAAAAAAAAAAATTGGAGTCTCAACTTTAAACAACATTCATTTAATTAAAATCTAATTTCAAATTTGAAAACCAATTATATTAGAATCTATAATTAGTTTCCGAATCTATGTTTCAACATTTAATAAAGTGAATTTCTAAGTTTTGAATTGTATTTTCTATTTCTAAATGAAGGAATCAACAATTAATAAAATAGATTTATGAATTTTGAATTAGGTTTTAATTAAACGGAACAATATCAATAAAGGATGGGGCTCTAATTTTTTTTTTTCACATGCACACATTTAAATTTAGAAATCTACTTTATTAAATACTAATACATAACTTTAGAAACTGATTATATTAGAATCTATAACTAGTTTCCAAATTTATATGTCAATATTTAATAAAGTAAATTTCTAAATTTTGGATTATGTTTTCTATTTCTAAATGTAAGAATCAACATTTAATAAAATACATTTATGAATTTTGAATTAGATTTTAATTAAATGAAATGATATCATTTAAGGTTGGGACTTTAATTATTTTACACACACATAATTTTTTTTTCACATATGGGATTATTGCTTATTCACACTTACGCAAAATCTTGATTATTCATTTGTTCACTTTCAATAGTGGAGATTTATCATAACTTTTTAGATAAAAACAATAATTATTTTTAATAAATAGGAATACATTTCAACCGTTAAAAATAAAGAGATGAATGGTTTAGATTTTATGTAAGTGTGGTGTATAAGATTTGTGTATGAATAAATCACTACTCTACATATAGGAAAAAGTATATATCAATCTTGACTTCTAAAATAAATTGGAGTCCCAATATTAAATGATATTATTTTATTTAATTAAAACTCAATTTACAATTCAAAAATCACTAATTAAATGTTGATATTTATATTTAAAAACTAATTATTAAAATATATAATTAGTTTTCAAATTTAGATATCAACATTTAATAGAAAGAGTTTTTGAATTTTGAATTGAGATTTTAGTTTTTAAATGTAAGTTGGAACTCCAATTTTTTGGGAAGTAGGGACTAATATGTACTATTCTCATATATATATATATATGAGGAGAGATCTATTTACATATAAATATTACACATTACACTTATATAGGATTTCAACCATTCATCTCTCTCCTTTTAATAATTGATATTTATCATGATATTTTAGATGAAAAAGATAATTATTTTTAATAAATGTAAAAAAAATCTCAACTATTAAAAGTGAAAAAATGAATTGTTAAAATTTTGTGTAAATATAATTTGTAAAGCTTGTGCGTAAGCATATTATCAATTGAAATTAGAGTCCCAACCCTGAACAAAGCCATTTTATTTGATTAAAATCCAATTTAAAATTAAAAATCTACCTTATTAAATGTTGATTCCTATATTTAGAAACAAAAATTTAATTCAAAATTCAAAATTTCATCTAATTAAATTTTAATACATAAATTTAGAAACTAATTATATTAAGGGCTTGTTTGGTACAACGGTTAAAATTCAGCGGATAGCAGATAGTGGATAGCGGTAGCGGGTAGCGGATAGTGGATAGCGGTAGCGGGTAGTGGATGGCGGTTAACGGATGGCGGATGGCGGATGGCGGAAAGTGAGTAGCGGATGTTAAATAGCGAATTCGATAAATATAATTATTTGGTTATACAATAGTTAGCGATTATTGTTTAACATTAAATAACTAATAAGGACATGTTTAAAAACAAATAAATGTATTTTTTAAAATATTTTTATTTTTTATTATTAAAATGATTAATT